TTTCTGGACCTGATCGATTGTCGGCTGGCTCCGACAGGTGGCAACCTGGGACTTGAGACTGGATACTGAAGTGAGGGCAGTCTTGTGAGACTAAGCCTTTAAACCTGTGGGATCTGACACTAACTCTGGGTACTTTGTGTTAGAATTGAATTAAATTGTAGGACACCCAGTGGCTGGAGAGTTGGAGAAGTGGTTGTTGGTGTGCAGAAACTCCCACACATTTGGTGGCAGGAGTGTTATGAGTAAAAACGGTGGGGACTGGCCTTCTGTGTCTGGTTTCCTTCACAGAGCAGAATGTTTTATGATCCATCCATGCTGTTGCATTTTTAGCAGTTTATTGCTTTTTATTGCTGAGGAGTATTTCTTGTGTAGATGTACCATAATTTGTATATCCATCTACCAGTTGGACACTTGAGTTGTTTCAACTTTTTGGCTGTTATGAGTAAAGATGCTGTGAACATTCACACAGAGATGTGTGCAGACATATGCTTCATTTCTCCTGGGCAAATGCCTAGAATTGGAATTCTGGGTCATATGGCAAGTGTGTAAGAAACCGTCAAACTGTTTTCTCAGTGGGTGTACTGTGTGCTCATCCCACCAGCGAGATGAGAATTCTAACTGTTCCACATCCTTGTCAGCAACAGGCATTGCCACTCTTCTTAACTTGCCCGTTCCAGGAGGTGTGTAGTCTGTGACATTTCCCTGAACACTAATGATGTTGACCACTTTTTTTTCCTGTGCTTCTCATCTGTATATTTTTATAGAAGGTTTATTTTTTAACCCTGACCTTTAACAGTCTTAAAAATATTTAAGTGCCTGGAGTTTTTGTCTTTCAAACTCTTTGGGTGACTTTTCCTGGCATAGCTGACGGTGAAATAAACAATATACTTGAAACTTCCTAAACATCTGGCAGTGTATTTAAATAGATGGTTATGAAGTCTAATAGCATGGAAAGATCTTGTAATAAGCATGATACAATGTTAAGTGACAAAAGCAGAACACAAACTAGGTAAATGTATATAATGCACTCTCGGGGGAAAAAAGAGGAAAAAGACATGCACAAAATTCCAACCATATTTGCGTTGGAATGGTGACTTTTTCCCTATATTCATTTTCCTTAATATGAATGTGGCTGCTTTTCACTAATAACAGAGGAAAAATGAATAGATTTGAAATAGAAGAGTTCTGACAAGAGGAACTTAATCACCTAAGAAAATAAAGCTAATGATTATTATAAGCCATTGTTTGTTTGTTTATCTTTAAGAGTTGCATTCTAGTGAAAGGGAGGTGAGTGTGACATGGAACCCAGAAGCACAGAGCTCGAATAGCCTCAAGTCATGACTCTGCTGGTGCTGGACAAAGCTGTGGAGTGCAGCGTCCATGGCCACCTGCGCCAACCACCAGTGCCTCCTTCCTGAGACAGTCAGTGCTCCTGGGGACAGCACCCCTGTGGTTGCCCTTCTGATCATCCTTCAGCTGCAGGTGAATGTAGCTCAGGAAGCCAGAGCATTCAGCACTTACCCACATCGCAGCAGCACAGCTGCTCTTGAACACGATCTTACTGAGATCAGCATCAGAAAAAAATACGATGATGCCACAAAAAGACAGGGTGATGTTGCCCAAAGGAAGTCTACCTTTCCACACATTCATTCAACAGATATCATTGACATTTACCCTAAGTGTCAGTTGTAAGCACAATTCTAAGCCCTGCTCTAGGCATAGAAAATTCATTAGGGACCAAGACACAGCTGTCTGTGTTCCACAGATCTTACTTTCTGGTAGGATGAGGCAGACAGCGAACAGTAAGTTGTAAGGGAAACTGGTTTTCAGGATACAGCAATGGATAAAAGATCAGCCTTCATTTATTCATTCATCTAAACAGTGTTTTTTGAGCACTGTCCATGTGACCTGACTATTTGCTGGCTAGAGGGGATAACTGAACAAAATCCAGTTCCTGGCATCCAAAGCTTCTAGTCCAGTGGGGAAGACTGTGAGCAAGTGCTGTCGGAGCAGCACGTGAAAAGCGGGCTACCTCCACTGGGAGGGCCTAAAGAGCGAGATTCTGGGCTGAATTAATCAATTCTGAGTCTCGCAGGCATAATACAGTTGTTGTGAGGGTTAAAGGTGAAAGTGCCCAACATACGGTTTTAGTCATTTTAATAATGAAATTGGAATTTACTCACACCCTGTAGCGCGGTGAGGGAAGCGTCAATGTGTTTCATTAACCAGAACAACAATGAATAAGAACTGCTGGCAACACACAGAGTTCACGGTTTATGAAGCCCTCCTACGTGCAGTTTATGTCCAATCCATGTAAAACCCCAGGGAGGTAGCTATAATTAAAAACATTGCGGTATCCTGGATTGGGTCCTAGAACCAGAAAAGGACATTAATGGAAAAACCGGTCTGCAGTTTAGTTAATAGGATTGTCCAATGTTAACTTCTTACTTATGACGAATGTACCATGATTATGAAAGAAATTAACATCAGAGGAAGCTAGGGGAAGAGTATATAGAAACTCTCTGGACTAACTTTTTCTGTAAATTTAAAATTCCAAAATGAAAGATAAAAAAAAACCCAAAAAACAAAAAACCCACAACATGACCCCTCCATCCTAGCAAGTCATCTACTGTCAGAAGAGCATCAAGCAAGAAGAGCTGAAGGTGGGACTGGATGGAAACTCTGGAAACAAATTTGAGAATGGAAAAGGCGGAGTCCTGGTTAATCCCGAAGGGTGAATAATGGCCAGAGCAATCACTCAGTTCCTGCACGAGAAAGAGCAAGCTGATTCCCCGTCTCCAAAGAATTCACACTCTGATTCACAGTCCTTTTCCCTGGCATTGGAATTCACAATTCGACTTCTTCACTGTCACATTTCCTTCTCTACTATTACTGTTCCAGGAATTAAAAGAGTTTGATTGCTGAGCTCATGCGTTCTGGGTCACAGGAAGAGGTGGCCAGTAGCCGTTAAAAAACCAGGAGGGAAAGAGGGCTGGGAGTAAGTCCCTCGGTATGCTGACAATCTGTGTGTAATTAAGAGCTGTTCACCCTGGGATGTTTTTCTCTTGTTGCTAAAGAAAGAACGAAGGAAGGAAAGAGAGAGAGGGAGAAAGAAAAAGAAATAAATGAAGGAAGGAAGGGAGAGCGGGAGAGAGAAAGGAAGGAAGGAAGGAGGAAATGGAGACAGAGAAAAAGAAAGAGGAAGGAAGAAGGAAAGAAAGAAGGAAAGGAAGGAAGAAGAGGGCCTGAGTGCTTTTCAGACTATAATTCTGAATGCTTTTCAAACTTGAGGCTGTGGAGACTTAATTTTAAAAGTATTTCTTTATTCATCTTATTATATCTAAGGGCCAACCATATGCCCAACACTGTTCAGAGCTTTGGGAATATAGAATAGTGACTAACACGGGATGTTCCCTGCACTCAGAGAGCATACAGACTAGCGGGTGAGACAAACATTAAACAGTACACAATCTGTAGTTAAATTTAAGGAAAGAACCAGGGTTCAACACTCTGCTGCTTCTTACCACCTGATGACTGTCTTTGATCTGTTATTGTGTCAATTTGTGAAACACCTGGATAAAGTTAATAAATTCCTTTTCAGTCTATCAGTTTTACCTAAAGCAGCTTTTAAAAATCCTGATTGCCCATAAACAAAACAAAAAGACAACCTATGGATTGGGAGAAATATTTGCAAACAATGTGACCAAAAAGGGTTTATTTTCCAAAACATACAAACAGTTCATACAACTTAATAACAAAAACAAACAACTCAATCCAAAAATGGGCTGAAGACCTGAATAGACATTTCTCCAAAGAAGATATACAGATAGCCAACAGGCATATGAAAAGATGCTCAACATCACTAATTATTAGAGAAATGCAAATCAAAACTACAATGAGGTATCACCTCACATCTGTCAGAATGGCCATCATCAAACAGTCCACAAATATTAAATGCTGGAGAGGGTGTGGAGAAAAGGAACCCTCCCACATAGTTGGTGGGAATGTAAATTGGTGCAGCCACTATGAAGAACATTATGGAAATTCCTCTCAAAACTGAAACTAGAACTACCAAATGATTCAGCAATCCCACTCCTGGGTATATATCCAAAAAAGATGAAAACTCTAATTCAAAAAGATACATGCACCCCAATGTTCATAGCAGCACTAGTTACAATAGCCAAGACATGAAAGCAACCTAAGTGTCCATCAACAGATGACTGCATAAAGAAGATGTGAGATAGATAGATAGATAGATAATGGAATATTACACAGCCATAAAAAGAATGAAATAATGCCATTTGCAGCAACATGGAGAGACTTACAGCTTATCATTTTAGTGAATAAAGTCAGACAGAGAAAGACAAACATCATGTGATATCATTTATATGAATCTAAAATTATGATACAAATGAATTTATTTACAAAACAGAAATAGGCTCACAAACATAGAAAAAAAATTCATAGTTACCAAAAGGGAAGAGGGGGAGGAATAAATTAGCAGTATGGGCTTAACAGATACACACTATCATATATAAAATAAACAAAAAGAATTTATTGTATAGCACAGGGAACTATACTCATTGTCTTATAATAACCTATAATGGAAAAGAATAAAAAAAATATATCCATATCCAAATCACTTTGCTGTTCACCTGAAATTCACACAGTATTGTAAATCAAGTATACTTCAATTTTAAAAAAAGAAAAAGAAATTTTAAAAATTACAGTTTTCAGAGTATAGGTAACCTCCTTGGTTAAGTTTATTTCTAGGTATTTTGTTGTTTTTGATGCACTGGAAATGTTTATACCAGTTATAAAATTCTGGTTTTTGAAGTGAAAAGAAAAAAATATGAATTAAGGGCCACAAATGGCAAAACATCCTTCTTTCTTATGGGTAAGTTGTATTCCATTACATATATATATGCTGCATCTTCTTTATCCATTCATTTATCGATGTGCACTTAGGATGCTTCCATGTCTTGGCAATTATAAAGAATATTGCTGTTAATAGCAGGTGTATGTATCTTTTTGAATGAATTATTATTTTGTGGTTGGCTTTATTCCTTTGATAACTATGTAAGTTTAAAAAGCTAAAGCTCTAAGCATTCTTAGAAACAATGACAGTCCATATATGCAGATTTTAAAAATGTGTGCAGTATATTGTGTGTATGTATTTACATGCAATATATTATATACGTGCAGTCAAATTTTAACAATTCTACCTAATAAAACTGAAAAATGAAAAAAAAGAAAAAAATGTCAGTGACTAGTGTCACATAATGTAAACATGGCCATTCTAAACAAACTATGAGCAAACCAAAGTCCTCATTACATTTAATATATATATAACTTTGTCTTATAAAATTCTGGGAAATTTTGCCTGCTTTGTATCCCTCACCATGACTTCTGTTAACAATACTCTGCTTTTGTTTTATACAAAAATCTTCTTCTTGTCATGTGGACTTGTTTGAAGCTGTAGACCAGCACTCCCTACTATTTTGTCACAAGAGTGGGAAAATGAAGAAATCTGGCTTATCAAAAAAAAAAATCCTGATCACTTGGATACACCCAAGACCAGGTAAGTCAGACTGGGGTGGGACCAAAGTGTCAAAATTCTTTTTTTTTTAATTGAGGCATAGTTAACTTACATTATATTAGTTTCAGGTGTAAAACACAGTGATTCAAAAATGTTTATGGATTATACTCCATGTATAGTTATTTTAAAACATTGCCTCTATTCCCTGTGCTGTACAATACATCCTTGTAGCTTATTTATTTTATACACAGTAGTTTGTACCTTTTAATCCCCTGAGGCTAGAGTCATTTAGTAACAACCTTTGCCCCGGTCCTAGAACCAGGTAAATTCTAAGCATTTTCCACTTTTTCAGATGCTAAGGATAAGCGCCAGCCAAGGGGGACTGGGGCCTGCAAGGCTAGTTTTCTTTCTGGAAGCTCTGGAGGGCTCCTGACCCCCTCCCACGGGGAAGGAGTCCCTCCTGCTTATCTCTCATCACTTGTCAACACCCACTCCTCGAAGCCTCACCTGTGTCCCTGCTACAGCCTTGGGTCAGACCCTCACCGCATCAGGATTCCTGAAACAGCCTCCTCAGGACAACCCCCCCCCAGCCTGGGGCCTCACCCCTCCCTTCCAATCCATCTTGAGCACTGCTGCTGCCAGGATATAACCACGACAAGGTTAA